CTCCTCCTCCTCCTCCTCCTCCTCCTCCTCCTCCTCCTCCTCCTCCTCCTCCTCCTCCTCCTCCTCCCCCTCGGCTCCTCATCCACAGCGGGAGGGTCCGAACGTGGAGCAGATGGAGGACGATATGGAGGGAAGTTAGAGAGGAGGGGAAGAGGGGGACAGGGGAGGTGAACGAGGAGGGCGAGGGCGGAGAAGCTGACGAGCGAGCGCAGACGGGTTCGGGATGCGCTCGCGCCAGCCAGGTCGAGCAGATTCGCTTGATCTACAGCGGTAAGCAGATGAGCGACGAGTGCGCGCTTCAAGGCAGCCCGTGCGGCCACCGACTCCGAGGGACGATATGGCGGGCTGCAGAGTTTCACGAGCGGAGTCCGGCATCAAGAGTCCCGAGGAAAGTGCGCAGGGACCCCGAGGAACCTAAAGGAATCCCAAGGATCCGACGAATTCAAGATGGGAGCACAGGGAACGACAACGATCCATACGGAATGCACGGGGCGATGCAAAGAAGCCGAGAGGGATTACTATCACATCTCAAGACGCTCAAGCGCACTCGATTCACATTTCAATCACATCTCAGTCACATCACCGTTGGATGAAGCCGCTTACCTGCGTGGCAGGTGACCCGCGCGTCTTAATACCGGTTCATTGTTCCATTCAGCCTGCAGTTTCCTTGCCCCCCGTCCCCCTGCTGCTGCGGGCTGCTTGGCGTGCTCTCTTTCCTCCTCTCTCGCTCGTTTTCCTGCCTCTCTCTGTGCTGCCCTTGCTTCTCCCTTTGTTCCGCCCTGCTGCCTGCCTCTGTCTCTGCTGTTGCTGCTGCTGTCCACGCGTTTCGCTGTCCTTGCATATTCACGCACTGCGGAAATGCACAAACCTGTTTTGATACTTGAGCCTTTGAGCGTGCCAGTTTACATGGTGACCCACGGAGCTTGTGTAAGTTGGAGTGGCGTGGGCAGCCTAGCTACCTGGTAACGCTGTGCTCTCGGATTGCCTTGGCATGGACAACAGTTCACGAGACGCAAGCGCATTCGCAGGCGTCCCACTATGTAGTAGAATTGAAAAGGAAGCACACGGAACCCGAAGGAAATCAACGGGATCGACATGATACCCCACGAAGCTCAGGGGGTCCTTCGACAAAGCAATGGATTGGGACGACACATCTCTAGAACAGGACACATAGATGATATTCAGCTTGTCGAGTACACTGTGAATTAGTTCAAGTGCAGAAAAAGCGAGTGGACTAAAGATTGTAGGTGCCAGCATGCCCTTGTAGACAGTTTTAGCCGCTTGCAGGCGCCAGCGCACGCTAGTAGACGCTAGTGAGTGCTAGTAGTTGCTAGCGCATGCGCCTGCACACAGGACCTGGATTCCAGATTAACGTCTCCATGGTGCTGGATGCGTTCTAGTTCCCCAGAAGAGCGGGGGCGCGCCAAAGGGTGCCTGTTGTCAGGTGGTGTCTTACGGTTGTGCGCCACATGCAGAGACGCTCCATCGCGGGCTAATCCGTGTCTGATGTAGTCTCTTCGGCCGCCCCATGCTGGCCAGAGGGTGGTGGGCTGTGTCCAGCAGGGTTTCAGTCTTTGCGCAGTGTCTTCCAGCAGGCTTTCCGCGCGGTCACGTTTGCCACGGGCGCCAGGGTTGGCAGACGGTGGCAGCGGAGGCGGCGCAGCTGGAACAGGATCATATGAAGGATCATCAGGTTGAGGCGGAGGAGCAAGAAGGAGAGGGCGGAGGGAGGCGTGGGGATGGAAGGGGAGATTGGTAAGAAAGGTACGCGATCTTTGTTTCAGAAAACTGCTCCGAGGAGATCCACCTCGTCCTCTGAACTACACCTTCCGTTGTTGGTGCAATTCAGAAGGGGGTCTCAGAGGTACATCATGTGTCTAGCTGCGTTCCACACCCCGTGACGTCTGGAGGGGGTCGGGACGGGACGGGGGGGGGGGAGGGGAGGTGGTGGAGGGCGGGGGGGGAAGAGGAGGAGGAGGAGGGAAGCGGGAGGGAGGGGGGAGGGCGGAGGGAAGCAGGCGGAACGAGCAGGCGAGGCGGCGCGGTGGGGCCGCGCAGCCTCTGCGCAGCCTCCCCGAGGGAGCTCCCCGGGGCAGCGGCCGCCCCGTGCCCGAGCCGGCCCGCGCGGCGGCAGAGCCAGAGGGCCCGCGCCGTCGGTGCCGCAGAGGCCGCGGGGAGGCGGCCGTCGAGAGGCCACCGCGCCCGAGCCCGCCGGGGCCCGAGGCTGCCGGCTTGGCACGCCCCACGGGGTGAGCTCCTCCCTCCGCGCTCCTCCTGGCGCCCCTGCCTGGAGGGGGGGCGGGGGCCCGTCAAGGCGAGAGGGCGGGGAGGAGGAAGGGGGAGGAGGAGGAGGAGGAGGAGGAGGAGGAGGAGGAGGAGGACGAGGAGGAGGAGGAGGAGGCGGCGGAGGCAAAGGAAGGCTCAGGCCATGCTTCCCCCCCCTCCCCATGAGGGTCAGTGGTGCGAGTGCCGCCGGCAAGGCCCTGTAGGTGTACGCACACGCGCCGGCTCCTCTTCGCGCGCTCGTGTGGACAGTCTTGCGGGTCAGTGAAGCCTGGAGGTTCGTCTGCGCATGCACGAGTTTTGGGCCCCCGTCCTTGCTCTTCCCCTTCCTCCCGCCTATGTTTGACGATGGTCAGGCGTCACGTGCAGTCGCCGTCCCAGCTGGCGATGTGCTGCGACAGTGCGCTCGGGTCGTTGCGTCGGCCGGGGTGGTTCAGCGCCGCGCAGTGCAGCATCGGCTTCCGCCCCTCGCGATCGGGGTTGCAGATCTGCTTCGCCAGCGCTCGTTCCGCTTGGATCGTGATGCGAACGGCGCGCGCGCGAGCTAGCAGGAACAGCATCGAAACATGTGGATTTTGCCACGCATCAGACGCTCTCCTGACACATGCTGCGGAAAAGACACCTCCGCCCCAGACTACAACGTGAAGCCTGGCAGCACCGTGCACATGGTTCTGCAGCTCCGTGGCGGGTCTTGCTGAGAGGCACGACCGGTGCTGCGGAGGATGCAGGTGGGGACGACCAGGATTGGAGTGGACACTTCGGCTGGAGTAGGTACAAGAGAGCATGAGAAAGCAAGGGGTGGAGTCCGAACCCCGAAGGTAGTGGCGGAGTCCACTGCTCTGCCCTGCTGTGCGGATGCGCGGGGGGAGGGCGAGGAGGAGGAGGCGGAGGAGGAGGAGGAGGAGGAGGAGACGGATCACATAGGAGAGGAGTAAAATCAGGAGGGAGAAAAACACACAACACAGACACAATTAATCGTCGATTCCCAGGACAATATGTGAAAATATGGGAAGTGGGGGGGGAGACAACAACCAAGAACATATGGGAAAATATGGGGAATCCTGTTATTTGTGTGTATTTATTTGTGTGTCCTGGGGCCCCTTCATAAAAGGAGGAAGCGGACACGAATGTTGATGTGCCATGTGGCAGGTTCCGGAGCTGGGCTCGCCCTGGAGAGTCTGCCTGTTGGGGGTCCAAGGGCACACCTCTTGGAGGAGCAGAAAGAGGGAGGGCCTGGGCAGGGAGAAGGGGGAAAGCAGGGAACGCCATCAGAAGGGCGATGCGAAGGCAGTGTGTCCTCAAACGTAGCTTCATGCAAATGACCGTCAGCACGGTGATCCTGAATGACCGCGTGGTACCCGAGGTGTCGGGGAACCACTGGGGGAACCACTGGGGAGCGGCCCCCTGGGGCCGTCTTGGGGCTGTCGCAGGGCTCTTCTCTGGCCTTGTGGGCCTTCTCAGGGATCGGGGGGATCCTTGGGGCTTCCTCGGGCCATCGTGGGGCTCGAGGGCCGTCTCAGGGAACTCTTGGGCCGTCTGGCGCCTTCGGAGGACGTCTTAGGGGCTTCTCCAGGTCTTTTTGATGCCCTTTCGGGCCGTGTTGGTGCTTTCATGGGCCATCTTGGGCCCCTCTTGGGACCCTCTTGGGGCCCTTCTGGGCCGTCTTGGCCCAGCCTTTGGGGCTTCTTTGAGCCGTCTTGAAAGCTCTGAATACAAATGGATGGCGAGGGTTCGAAAATCAGTTCAAGCACATGTGAAAACAAGGAGGCACTCCTGGGGGTTCTGTTGGAGGCCTCTTGAGCTGTCTTGGAGGCTTCTTGGGCAGCCTTCAGGCCGCATCAGGCCGTCTTCGAGGCGTATTGGCCTGTCTGGGAGGCAACTTGAGCCATCATGGAGGCCATTAGGAGCCGTCAGCAGGCAATCGAGGGTCATCGTGGCCATCTTGGAATCGAGCCGCGGGGCTGGCGGGACAGGCCGAAGGCCACCGGGAAGCGGGTGGAAGGGCCAAGGGGATTTCTTGTGAAGGCCTTATATGGCCTGTGCCGCTGACCCTCAAGGCAGGATCTTCACCGGGACTCCCGCTGGCGCCACCCCTCCCGGCTCGCCGGGAGGAGGAGGAGGAGGAGGAGGAGGAGGAGGAGGAGGAGGAGGAGGAGGAGGAGGAGGAGGAGGAGGAGGAGGAGGAGGATGGGGGGGGCGGCATTCTGACCCGGGCCCCCCCCCCCCCCCCCTACAGGCGGGATTTCCACCAGGACCCCCGCGGGAGACCTCTCTCTGGAGTGTATAGCGTGGACGAGGAACCAAAACCGTGCGGAGTCCCGTGGTGAGGCGACGCGCGGCCCCGAGCGCACCCCGCTGCGGGCGCGGGGTTTCGGGGAGGGGGCTTGATTTCGTCACTCTGGTCCCGTGGCAGCACGCGGGGTGCGCTGTTCGAGCCATGTCGTTGCCTTTGTCTGTTTTGCGCGGCTCCCCGCGTGTGACGTGGTGATGGTCGGCCCCTCCTCACCACCTACCAAACCACCCCAACCCAACCCGAAGGCCTCAATTTGCCCTCCATTTCCAGTGGGGGGGGGTCGGGGAACGTTGAAAAAACACATGGAACCCGTACCCCCCCAACCCGAAATTCGGGTCAAATTCGGGTCTTCGGGTTGGGTTGGGGTGGTCTGGTAGGTAGTCACCTCCTGCCCCCATCGTCACTGCCATCACCTCCCGCAGTTCAGAAACAGAGGAACAAAAAGGGTTCCTGTGTCGCTAAGGCCAGACTTGAATAATACAAAAGGCCCGTTACCACATGGGACTCATCGATGCGAGGGGACGGAGCGGTCAATGGGGTCGTGGGGTTGCCCGCCCACACCGTGGCATGGGCAGCTTCCAGGCTCGATTGACGACGAGAGACCCGAGATGTTGAGCGGCGGGAGAAACATCATTCCAATGACACCATGTGCCTGTTGTTTTGCTCTCACCGCATTGCTAAAAGTGTCTTGGCTTTGCACTTGCCTTCTGGGATCTCACACCATACTTGAAATGGAATTGTGCTTGCCTATATAGTGCTTAAGCCGCACTGCTCTCGTTCGCCTTTGACAATGGACGCAAGCGTCGTTCTCACCGCTTCGCAAGACTGCACGGCGAAGGTCTGGGACATGGAGTCCGGTGGGTGCTTGAAGACCCTCGACGGCCATGGTGAATTTGTCCGCTCCGCCGTCTTCTCTTCGGATGGTGCTCTGGTGCTGACAGCTTCGGGCGATCGCACAGCGAGGGTCTGGGACATGGAGTCCTGCGAGTGCTTGAAGACCTTCGAGGGCCATGAGGACTTTGTCTATTCCGCCGTCTTCTCGCCGGATGGTGCTCGCGCGCTGACGGCTTCGGCCGACGAGACGGCGAAGCTCTGGGACAAGGAGTCTGGCGAGTGCGTGAAGACCCTCGAGGGCCATAGGGGCGCAGTTTGCTCCGCCGTCTTCTCGCCGGATGGGGCTCGGGTGTTGACGGCTTCGAACGACCGTACGGCAAAGGTCTGGGACATGGAGTCCGGCGAGTGCTCGAAGACCCTCGAGGGCCATACGGGCGCAGTTTGGTCTGCCTTTTTCTCCCCAGATAGTGTTCGGGTGCTGACGGCTTCGGACGACCGCACGGCAAAGGTCTGGGACATGGAGTCCGGCGAGTGTTTGAAGACCCTCGAGGGCCATATGGAGTCAATCGGTTCCGCAGTCTTCTCGACGGATGGGGCTCGGGTGCTGACGGCTTCGAGCGACCGCACGGCGAAGGTCTGGGACACGGAGTCCGGCGAGTGCTTGAAGACCCTCGAGGGTCATACGGGCACACTGGGCTCCGCCGTCTTCTCGACGGACGGGGCTCGGGTGTTGACGGCTTCGGGCGACCGCACGGCGAAGCTCTGGGACGTGGAGTCCGGCGAGTGCTCGAAGACCTTTGCGGGCCACGGGAGCGTAGTTTGTTCCGCCAGCTTCCCGCCAGATGGTGCTCGCATGCCGGCGGCGTCGGTCGGCTCCACGGCCTCCACGGTGAGTGTATGACCCGACCTTCCAAATTGTTCGCGTATTGCATCGACTTTGCATTATTGTTCAATGCACGGGGCGATCAGCGTGTTTTTTGTCATCGCCATGTCGCCTGACGAAAAGTTGTTCAACTCTGATAGTTCTTGGATCTTCTGTGGACTTTGAGAGACTTTTGGATGACTTTGAACAACCTTGGGGACGATGTTTGGGACGGCTGTTGGGATGACCTTTGGCACGACTTGTGGCATGATTTGTGGGGCGAGTTTTGTGCGGCCTGTGAACGACTTCGAGACGATGTTTGCTAGAACTATTGGGCGAGATTTGGCCGTTTTTGGGTTTGTTGACGACTTGTTTGCGATCTTTGGGAGTTGTTTGGACACGTGTTGGAGGATTTTTGGGTCAAACACTGAGGACTTTTGGCCAATGCAGCCGATCTCGACAGCCTGACATGTCCCCTCCCCTTTCCTCACTCCCACCTCCCCCCCTCCCCCCATCCCCCTCCTACTCTCCCCCTCTCCTCCCCCTGCCCACCATTGTGCCCCCCCCCCCCCCCCGCCTGGGCCCGCCAAGCTTCGTTGTGCGACTAACCTAGCCCCACCCCTCCCACCTGGAAGTGGTACCACCTGGAAGCACATGCCACATGCTGTTGAGATCGGCGGTCGATTGGGCCAGAGGTACTTTTCAAATATAGGGGGCTGGCCTCTTGCGAGTCCCCCCCCTTCTTCCGCACGAGGCCAGCTGAGCAAGGATCTTGTTCGCTGTTCTTGGAAGGACAATCCAACAGTCCCAGCAAAGACGCCAACAGCCTGCACGTTTGGGGTTTGTCGGCCAAAAGCTTGGGATTTTTCCGCCGGGCATACTGCTAGATCGGAACATTTGGAAGACACTGTGTTCTGAAAAAGCACATACGGACTCTGTACAGTAAGAAGACCCAACTACGGAATGCAAAAGAGCGAAATCCAAGAGTCGCCCACCTTGGAGGTTGTTGTTTTGTCGACCGCCCGAGAACCAAAAGATCCAGGGTCGGCCATGTTCATTGAATTTGGCCCGAAGGGAAGATGTCTATGAAATGGCCTCAGCTGAGGCCTTAAGTTTGGCCTTTTGGGTTCCTGCATCCTGGGATGTTGGGATCCAGGATCCAAGAAAGAGATCCAGGATCCCTAACCCCAGATCCCAGATCCCGGACCAGGATCCTGGGTCCCGAATCAAGGGATCCCAGAACTAGCCCAGATCCAGGATCCATGTTCCCGGATCCCATATCCCCGACCAGTGTCCTGGATTCCGAGGATCCCAGGGCCAGGATGATTGGATCTGGAGTCTGGATCCAAGATCAGATCTGGGATCCGAGATCTGGCACCAGAGATCCGGGCTCCGAAATTTGGCACCAGAGATTCGGGATCCGATCACCAGAGATCCGGGATCCGAGATGTGGCACCACCGGAGATCCGGGATCTGAGATTTGGCACGGGAGATCCGAGATCCCAAATACCGCACCAGGATCCTGGATCCCGAATGAATAAGGGAGCCCAGAACCAGGATGATTGAATCACTGGTGCCAGATCCTGCATCTCCAGCGCCAGATTTCGGATCCTGGATCTCCAGGTTGTGGCGGGCGGTGGCCGGGTTGTCCCGCCGTGGTGTCCCGTCGCTGTCCGCCTCTCCCCCGCGGTGGACATGCGGTTGCCCGGTTGTCCCGCCGTGGTGTCCCGTCGGTGTCCCGTTGGTGTTCCGTGGCTGTCCAGTTGCAGTCCCGTCGGTGGGTGTCCCGTCGGTGTCCCGTGTTGTCCCGTCGGTATTTTACCGATGTCCCGTCGGTGTCACGTCGGCGTCCCGTCGGCGTCCCGTGGTGAGATCGATAGTGAGATCGATAGTGAGGCCAATAGAGAGAGCGACAGCGAGATCGAACGAGTGAGATCGATAGTCAGACCGATAGTGAGATCGATAAGTAGATCGAAAATGAGATCGATTGCTGTCCCGATTGTGTGCCGATGTTGTCTCGCGGTGTTCCGTCGGTGTCCCGTCGGTGTCCTGTGGTGTCCCGTGGTAAGATCGATGGTGAGATCGATAGTGAGACCGATAGTGAGATCGATAAAAAGATCGATAGTGAAAGCGATAGTGAGATCGATAGAGAGATCGATCGAGTGAGATCAATAGTGGGATCGAGCCAGTGAGATCAATAGGCAGATCGAAAGTCAGATCGATTGGTGTCTCGATGGTGTGCCGTTGGTGTCCCGCGGTGGCCCGTCGGTGTCCCGTCGGTGTCCAGCGGGTGTCCCATCGGTTTCCCTTAGGTGTGCCGTCGGAGTTCCGTCCGTATCCCGTGGTGTCTCGTGGTGAGATCAAGAGTGTGACCGATAGTGAGATCGATAGTGGGAGCCTTAGTGAGATCTAGGCTGGGATCAAAAGTGAGATCGATCGAGTCAGAGCGATGGTGGGATCGATCTAGCGCGACCGATAGCGATATCGATCGCGAGATCGATAATGAGATCAATAGTGAGATCGATGGTGACCTGATGGTGTCCTGATTGGTGCCCCGATTGGTGTCCTGATGGTGTCCTGGTGGCGTTTCGATGGTGTCTCGGTTGTGTCCTGGTGGTGTCCCGATACGTGCCCCGAGTGGTGCCCCGATGGTGTCCCGATGGGTGTCCGGATTGTGTCCTGGTGGTGTTTCGATGGTGTCTCGGTGGTGTTCTGGTGGTGTCCATAGTGAGACTTGGGGCGGCGATCGCAGAGAACCCGGTACGCCAAGCGGCTTTCAATGCCAGCATCACAAGCCACGGGATCGACAGTGATTGCAATCGTGGTACCGGTAGTGATTTCGATGGAATGAATTCGACGTAGGTAGGTCGATCGTGAGATCGATTGTATGACCGACTGTGTGATCGATAGTGAGACACGCCGAATGTCCCGTCGGTGTCCACACGTTCTCGTGCTTATGTACGCTTCCGCTCTGTTTGTTCTCCCTCCACCTCTTTCCTCGCCTTTCTCCTTGCTTTCCGTCCATCGCACCCTCGTCCGTCCCTTCTTTGTTCCCTGGCCCTTGGAGGGCGCGGGGCCGGGGGTCGTCAGTTGTCGTCGGTTGGTTCTTCCCCCCCCACCAACCTCCCTATCACCCGAAGGGTGGTCGTACAGGTAACCATCGGTTTGTCCTCTCGCTGTCTCTTTGTCTTTCTTTCTGTCCCACATTCTATATATATATATATATGTCTCTCTCTCCTCTCTCTCTCTCTCATCCTCCATTCTCAAATGATATAAAGGGGATGGCACCCATGTGCGAATCCATTGTGACCAGTCTGAGGTTCAGCAAACTGCCGTCTGTGGTGCCCATCTTATATCACGCTCGTGTACGCCATGCGTGATGTGCTCTGGCACTTTATGTTGTCACGGGGAGTAGCACTGTTGAGATGACGAGGGTGCATTGTGCTAGGATGCTGGCGCAAAGATCTCACATGCCATGTCGCACGACGGCAGCGAAGCTTACACACAGTGCCGCCGCTGCGCACCACTTGCCAGCCACGGGACGTTGGACCCCGTGCCAAATCATACCCTATCCATGGACGACGTACTACCACATCGCCGAAGAACGTTGCCAAAACGGAAGATATTGTTCGAATGATTCGAAACGTTTGCGTGACCTTTTTTTCACCACCGCCATTATCGTTGCAATTGCCTCGGTCTTTTCCGCCGTCTCTGATTCCACACGCTGTATTGACATTCCCGGTCAAATGCAATGTTGTTCCCACTGCCTTAGCGCTCAGGGCATGATGCAGTAGCCGTCTCACAAGCGGCCCGTGGTCCCGGAAAGCTTAGATGCCGCCGGTGAGGCATGCGCGGCAGGTAGCGGAGAGATGGGATTCCAGGAGAGGAAAGAGGCGCTCAGTCCTCAGTCGGGATGCAGATTCACACTTGGCCACGAAATTTGAATGTCAACGAGCTTTGACTACATGATTAATCAAAGCGTTTTCGAAGGTTTGCCAATCATGGGGTGGGAAAACGTTCGGTATGTTGTGGCCTTCGTTTGAAACACACGTTCTCTCTTGGCGAAGGACCCAACCACATGAAGTTGGGAGCACCGCAGCTGTGTGTATGGTCTGCGGTGGAGTTCCCCATGGGGCCACGAAACGCGCGAGGGGCATGCCGAAATAGGGGAGGAGGCATGCAGACCGTGCCATTGGGGCCTTCGGCGGAGCTCCCTATGAACACACGAAGCGCTTTAGGGGTGTGTCGAAACGACCGTGACGCCAACATGCGAACGTCGCCACTGGGGCCTTATGTGGAGCTCCCTACGGAGCCACAAAACGTGTGAGTGGTGTGCCAAAACGGGCGTGACTCCCGCATGCGAACGTCGCCACTTGAGCTTTATGTGGAGCACCCAACGGGGCCACGAAACATGTGTGGTGTGCGTGTGTGTGTGTGTGCCAAAACCAGCGTTACGCCTACATGCGAACGCTCCCTCTGCGGCTTTCGGTGGAGCTACCTATGGGGTCACGAAACGCGTGAGGTGTGTGTGTGTGTGTATCAAAATGGCTGACATGCGGAAGGCACAGGCAGGGATGGGAGGAGGGAGGAGGAGGCGGAGATGAGGAGGGCCGGCTGGACGAGAGCGACGCGCGCCAGCTGGACCTGGGCATCGACGCCTACGCCGCGGCGCGCTGCTCCGAGACTGCCGGGCGAGGGGCTGCGCTGCTGTGGAAACTCCCCCAGTTCCTTACGCTGGCTTCGCCGCATGAGGCTGGCGGCGGGGCTCCTCCTCCGACACTGCGGCACGGGCAAGCTGACGCACTTGCTTCGCGCCAGCCCGCTGGCCTGCTGACGCGGCTGGACCCGCTGGCGCCGCTCCGGCTGGGCGGCCGAGGCTTCCGCAGGCAGCGGGAGCTCGCGCCTGCTGCCTGGGTTGCCTCTTGGGCGCAGAGCCTCGCGGGCGTCTGGCAGCGCACGAGGCACCTCCAGCCTGCCTCTCGCTGCAGCTCGCCAGGAGGCGCTGGCCGGGCTGCTGCTAGGCCCGATGGACAGAGCCGGGCTGCTGCTGGTCTCGGAGGAGAGACCGCTGCTCCCTCGGCGGCAGCTCGAACCTATCGGGGGAGCGTAAGACCCGGGTTTGCCGGGACTCGGGTTCGCCATCGTTTTTTGACGACCGCGACTCGGATTTTGACGAGGAGGAGTTTCGTGGGATGTCTGCAGCGGGAGGCCTCGTCAAAATGCAGGCTCGGCCTCGTCATTTTTTCCCGGGAAAGGGCGGGGGCCCAGGGTTCTCTTTTAGTAGGTAAACCTGTCCCCCGGTGCCAACTTGAGGGAGGCCGGCGAATTTTTTCCCTGATAAATAACGAGGTCGAAGGAGGCCGGCGAATTAAAATTTGAGGATGTCTCGAGCGAAACGCTTGTTTTTGAAATCCCGATCGATAAATCACAGGGTGCGGGCCACTTTTTCGTGTGTTGAGGATGTCTCGAGCGAAACGCTTGCTCCGCAGAGTTTGCCGAGGATGTCTCGAGCGAAACGCTTGTTTTGCAGAGCCGACCGCGACGCGGAAAAGCGCCCCGCGCGAAGGAATTTCGATGATGTCTCGACTAATTCCTTTGTTTTTGTACGATTTCCTGGAATTTTGGCAGGATGTCTCGAGCGAAATGCACGACCCCACCCTAGCACGACCATACCCCAGCACGACCACACCCCAGCACGACCAGACCCCAGCACGACCCCACCCCAGCACGACCCCACCCCAGCACGACCATACCCCAGCACGACCACACCCCAGCACGACCCGACCCCAGCACGACCCTACCCCAGCAAGACCACACCCCAGCACGACCACACCCCAGCACGACCTCACCACAGCACGACCACACCCCAGCACGACCACGCCCCAGCACGACCACGCCCCAGCACGACCACGCCCCAGCACGACCACCCCCAGCACGACCACCCCCCCAGCACGACCACCCCCGAGCACGACCACCCCCCAGCACGACCACACCCCAGCACGACCACTCCCCAGCACGACCACACCCCAGCACGACCACACCCCAGCACGACCACACCCAGTCGCACCCCCGTGGAATGTTTCGTGGCGTGTCTGGTTGAGTGGTTGCCTGTTCGTGGGGTGTCTCGTGGAATGTTTCAAAGGGTGTCTCGTGGAATGTTTCGTGAGGTGTCTCGTGGAATGTTTCGTGAGGTGTCTCGTGGGATGTTTCGCGGGGTGGCACGACCACGCCCCAGCACGACCACGCACGACCACCCCCCAGCACGACCACCCCCCCAGCACGACCACCCCCCAGCACGACCACACCCCAGCACGACCACACCCCAGCACGACCACACCCAGCACGACCACACCCCAGCACGACCACACCCCAGCACGACCACACCCCAGCACGACCCGATCGATAAATCACAGGGTGCGGAGCACCCCAGCACGAACCCACCCCAGCACGACCCCACCCCAGCACGACCCCACCCCAGCACGACCACGCCCCAGCACGACCACACCCCAGCACGACCACACCCCAGCACGACCACTCCCCAGCACGACCCCACCCCAGCACGACCCCACCCTAGCACGACCACACCCCAGCACGACCACACCCCAGCACGACCCCACCCCAGCGACCACACCCCAGCACGACCCCACCCCAGCAAGACCACACCCCAGCACGACCACACCCCAGCACGACCTCACCACAGCACGACCACACCCCAGCACGACCACGCCCCAGCACGACCACGCCCCAGCACGACCACGCCCCAGCACGACCACCACGCCCCAGCACGACCACCCCCCAGCACGACCACCCCCCCAGCACGACCACCCCCCAGCACGACCACCCCCCAGCACGACCACACCCCAGCACGACCACTCCCCAGCACGACCACACCGCCTTGGTTGAGTGGTTGCCTGTCGTCGTGGAATGTTTCGTGGGGTGTCTCGTGGAATGTTTCGCGGGGTGTCTCGTGAAATGTTTCGTGAGGTGTCTCGTGGAATGTTTCGTGAGGTGTCTCGTGGGCTGTTTCGTGATGTGTCTCGTGGGATGTTTCGTGAGGTGTTGCCCAGTTGGGTATCATGAAAACGTGTCCATGCTCCACATGTCTATATCCCTTTCCGGGTTCGTGGGTCCATCATGTTTGACGACCTCGCCGGGGATTTCCGAGTCCCCCGTACCCGGGTCTTACGTCTCCCCGAACCTAACGAAAGGACTCCAGAGGAGACCCACGCACAGGCTGGATTCGAAAAACTGTACAGCCTGGATAAGCTCGCTGAGCGCTGAGGGACGGGCGCTGCTCCGCTCCCGCTGGGGGCCGCACGCGGGGGGCGGGCCGGGCCAGCGGCTGGACGACGCGGACTACCTCGCTGCTGGGCCAGGACTGCGCGCCCGAAGGCAGCCGCTGCTGCAACCGCCCGCGCACCAGCGAGCGGGCGGGGCAGCCCTGCGGCCAGCCGCTCTGCAGCGAAGCTCGGCACGGTTTTCGCTGCGCTTGCGGGGGCGGCACAATGGCAAAGGTGCGCAGCCGGGATGTCGAGGGCACGTGGGACCGCGCGCTTTCCGCACGGCCCGGCAGGTCTCGGTCCCTGCGTGGCGTGGGATCGGCGGCGCTGGCGCCGCGGCCAGCTGCGCCGCGCGCGGCCTCGCGGACACCCCGCCTGCTGGACCTGAGGTCCAGCAGCGCGCTGCGCCCCCAGGTCACCTGGAGGCGCAGCGCGGCGACTGCCCCCGGATGCTGCCGGACGTCGCCGTCCGGCACAGCGCCCCAGGGGACCTGCGTGCCCTGGCGGCGGCCGCAGACGCACATGGTGCAGTCGCCGCCGAGCCGATAGGGACGAGGATGAGCGCCCCCGCTACCCCGAGCGGCGGCCACTGACTGGCCCACGAGACGGACGGCCGGCTGGGCATGGCCGCGCTTCGCCACATCCGCTGGATCGCGCGCGACCGAGCCCAGGGCCTGGGCGACGGCCTCGAGGCTTAGGCGGCCGCGGGCGCGCTGGCGCGGCGTTGGGGCAGGCTGAGCATCGCGCTCCACCGCGCCGCCGCGCGCCAGCAAGCCGACAGGGCGAGCTGGCGGGGCACGCCCGCTGGGCAGCCGGGGCGCGGCGAAGGTCACCTACCAGGCCGTCGCACTCGTAGAGCAGCTCAGGGAGAGCGCGGGTGGCGCACAGACCGCCTTGCCGCGCGAGGAGGAGAGGAGACGCGGGACGCTGCTTCTTCAACAAACGAGGGCCGAACACCGCATAACGGTTGTGAAATTATTTTGGCGAAGTGTCCAAAAATGTGCAGTTGTGAATACCGCAGTTGCGAGCACTGTTTCCGGCGGGTTTCCCCGGTGAGCCACGAAACGCGCGAGGGGCATGCCGAAACAGAGGTGGGGGGGGGCACTGGCAGCCGCATGCGGGCCGTGCCGCTGGGGCTTCCGGCGGAGCTCCCTGTGGGGGACCGCGGGGCGCGCCGACATGTGATGAGCTGCGCGTGAACTGTGCCATTGGGGGCTCCCTATGAGACCATGAATCGCGTGCGGGGCGTGCCGAAACAGGCGAGGTGCCCACCCGCGAAAGTCGCCACAGTATGCGGAGCTACCAGTAGGGCCACGAAGCGTGTAAGGAGTGTCGAAACGGACGTGACGCACACATGCGAATGTCATCATTGGGGCCTTCTGTGGACCCTTCTGTATTGGGCCACGAAGCGTGTGAGGGGTGTGTTGAAACGGGCGTGGCGCCCGCACGCGAACGTCGCTACTGGGGCCTGACGGGGGGCTCCCTACGGAGCAACGCGACGTGTGGGGGTTCTTCCGACACTGGTTTGACGTCCACATGCGATCGCTCCCTCTGGTGCCTTCGGTGGAGCTCCCTACGGGGCCACGAAGCGTGTGAGGGGCGCACCGAAAAGGGCGCGACGCCCACATGCGAACGGCCTCTCTGGGGCCATGGTGCGCGCGAGGGCGCGCCAAAACGGTTGACATGCGGAGGGCAGAGGCAAAGATCGGAGGAGGGAGGAGGAGGCGGGGAGGAGGAATAGAGGAGATGCAGGGCGCTGCCATCTCAAAACGAGGACCCACCAAGACAGGATGGTTGTAAAATATCCAGACGAAGTGCCCAACCATATGCAGTTGTGAGTGCTGCAGTTGTGGGTATTGGTTATTTTCGGCGGATGTGTCCATGGTGCCACGAATCGCGCAGAGGGTCAGCCGCACGCGGGTCGTGCCATTGGGGCGTTCGGCAGAACTCCTTATGGGGGACCGCGGGATGCGTGAGGGGCGTGCCAGAATGTGGTGAGCTGTGTGTGAATTGTGCCATTGGGGGCTCCCTCTGAGACCACGAAGCGCGTGAGGGATGTGCCGAAACGGGCGTGACACCTACATGCGAACGTCGCCACTGGGGCCTTACGTGGAGCTTCGAATGGGACCAAGAAGCGTGTGGGTGGTGTGCCAACCAAGGCGCGACGCACACATGCGAACGTCGCCACAGGAATAGTAGATGGAGCTCCCTCTCTGGGGCCAGGAAGCGTGTGACAGGGTGTGTTTGAAACAGGCGTGACCCCCAGGTGCGAACGTCGCCATTGGGGACGAGACGTGCGAAGGGTGTTCCGAAATGGGCGTGGCGCCCGCATGCGAATGTCGCCGTTGGGGCCTTATGTGGAATCCCCTGTATGGGGTTACGCAGCGTGTGGGGGTTGTGCCGAAACGGGCGTGATGCCCACATGCGAACGTCGCCATTGAGGACTTATGCGGAGCTTTCTTTGGGGCCACAAAGCGTGCGAATGGAGGGTGCAGCAAAGGGCTTGACGCCCACACGCGCACGTCGCCACTGGGGCCTCAGGTGGAATTCCCTATGGGGCCCCGAAGCGCGTGATGGGTGTGCCGAAGCGCGTGGTGGGCGTTCCGAAACGGGCGTAACCCCCACATGCGAACGTCGCCACTGGTTTCAGGTGGAGCCCCTCTATGGGGCCACGAAGCGTGCGAAGAGTGTGCCGTAATTGCTGATGGTGGTGGTGATGACGATGATGAGGATATGTATCACGATGATGGTCGTGGTGGTGATGATGATGCTGCGGATGACGACGAGGACGCGCGGATGGCAGAGGCAAAGATGGTATCCTGGAGGAGGGGGAGGAAGAAGTGCGACGCGGGGCGCTGTCTCTTCGAACGAGGACCCAACACCACAGGAGGATTGGAAATAAAGCGATGTATAGACTCGCAGGGTTCCAGTGCGCTCGTGCCTCAGTCGTCACCGGGGGCGCTGGCCAGGAAGTCATACCGCCACGTTGGATCTTCTCCAAGGTGTGTCTAGGGCAAACGAGTCAGGGAGGCAGGGTGGAGGGGCGGACGAAGGAGAGGGAAGATGACTCACGCGAGAGGTAAAAAGCATATTACAACAGAGAAGAACCCCAATCAGTGGATGCGTTTCGCTGAGGAGATCGACCGGGAACCCGGGAGCCCGGGAACCCACCGAAATCGGCTCGCGGAACCAACGACCGAGAACCCAGGAAGCCAGCGCCCGGAACCCGGGAGCCCAGCCTGCTGCCAACCTCGGCGGGAACGTTTCGCCAAGCCTCCCCACTTCCGCTCTCGGGGCCACATTCAGTGCAGGCACCGGCTGGGGCAGCGCGCGCTGCGCACCAGGAGGGCGCTCGGGGGCTCTCTCCTGGAGCCTTTCGCCGCCCCCGTGGGGGGCGACTGCGCCGCAGGGGCCACGCGGCGAGGCGGGCAGCTGCGGCCTGGCCGCCGCAGCCCGGCGGGCAGTCGGCCGCGGGCCCCCCGGGAAGCCCGCAGGACCAGCAGCCACGGCGCCACGGCTGTGCCCGACGTTCGTTCCCAGACCCCCTCGAGTCATGAAAAAAACACGACGGGAGGTTTTTCCCGGAAAGGGCGGGGGCCCAGGGTTCTCTTTTAGTAGGTAAACCTGTCCCCCGGTGCCAACTTGAGGGAGGCCGGCGAATTTTTTCCCTGATAAATATCGAGGTCGAAGGAGGCCGGCGAATTAAAATTTGAGGATGTCTCGAGCGAAACGCTTGTTCCCGGAAAGGGCGGGGGCCCAGGGTTCTCTTTTAGTAGGTAAACCTGTCCCCCGGTGCCAACTTGAGGGAGGCCGGCGAATTTTTTCCCTGATAAATAACGAGGTCGAAGGAGGCCGGCGAATTAAAATTTGAGGATGTCTCGAGCGAAACGCTTGTTTTTGAAATCCCGATCGATAAATCACAGGGTGCGGGCCACTTTTTCGTGTGTTGAGGATGTCTCGAGCGAAACGCTTGCTCCGCAGAGTTTGCCGAGGATGTCTCGAGCGAAACGCTTGTTTTGCAGAGCCGACCGCGACGCGGAAAAGCGCCCCGCGCGAAGGAATTTCGATGATGTCTCGACTAATTTGTTTGTTTTTGTACGATTTCCTGGAATTTTGGCAGGATGTCTCGAGCGAAATGCACGACCCCACCCTAGCACGACCATACCCCAGCACGACCACACCCCAGCACGACCAGACCCCAGCACGACCCCACCCCAGCACGACCCCACCCCAGCACGACCATACCCCAGCACGACCACACCCCAGCACGACCCGACCCCAGCACGACCCTACCCCAGCAAGACCACACCCCAGCACGACCACACCCCAGCACGACCTCACCACAGCACGACCACGCCCCAGCACGACCACGCCCCAGCACGACCACGCCCCAGCACGACCACGCCCCAGCACGACCACCCCCCAGCACGACCACCCCCCCAGCACGACCACCCCCCAGCACGACCACCCCCCAGCACGACCACACCCCAGCACGACCACTCCCCAGCACGACCACACCCCAGCACGACCACACCCAGTCGCACCCCCGTGGAATGTTTCGTGGCGTGTCTGGTTGAGTGGTTGCCTGTTCGTGGGGTGTCTCGTGGAATGTTTCAAAGGGTGTCTCGTGGAATGTTTCGTGAGGTGTCTCGTGGAATGTTTCGTGAGGTGTCTCGTGGGATGTTTCGCGGGGTGGCACGACCACGCCCCAGCACGACACACCACCCCCAGCACGACCACCCCCCCAGCACGACCACCCCCCAGCACGACCACCCCCCAGCACGACCGACACCCCAGCACGACCACACCCCAGCACGACCACACCCCAGCACGACCACACCCAGTCGCACCCCCGTGGAATGTTTCGTGGCGTGTCTGGTTGAGTGGTTGCCTGTTCGTGGGGTGTCTCGTGGAATGTTTCAAAGGGTGTCTCGTGGAATGTTTCGTGAGGTGTCTCGTGGAATGTTTCGTGAGGTGTCTCGTGGGATGTTTCGCGGGGTGTCTCGTGGGATGTTTCGTGAGATGTCGCCCAGTTGGGTATCGTGAAAACGTGACCATGCTGCACATGTCTTTATCCCTTTCCGGGTTCGTGGGTCCATCATGTTCGCTATTTTCGGCCTCTGGGGGCCCCTACCGGGCCTCGGGGCTGTCAAAAAACGACTCAGGATGGAAAACCGGTCTCGGGGAATGGGTCCAAACTGCTGGGGGTCGACGTCATGAAAAAATCACGACGTCGGGGGTCTGGGTTCTGAGACACGGTCGAGCATCTGATCGAGGAGCCTCCTCCCGACGAGCCGGGCCGGCGTTGCTCGGCCAACTCGCCGGAGAGCCGGCCCAGCTTCTTGATCTGGGCCTCTGAGATGGGGTCGGAACAGATGGGGTCGGAGGATCGCGCCGCATAGACGATGCATCGGCGATGCGGCTCGATGTGGAGCCCGATTTGCTTCGCGTCGACGTAGCCCATGCATCGCTCACGTCGACGATGCATCGCCGGTGCATCGCCGATGCATCGTCGATGCATCCCCGACGCATCGCCGATGTATCGGTGATGCGGCGAGATCCTTCGACCCCATCTACTGGGACCCCATCTAGCAGGCCTCTACTTGAGCACGTCAACGCCCCATCCAGCTTCGACAACAGGCATTGGCCCAGGCTTGTTTTAAGAGACTTCTGGGAGGCTGGCCCAGCTTTCTAAAGCGATCGTGTTCTCTGAATCGCATGTTCGGCTGTACCTGGTCGGCGGCCTTAGAAACAGGTCTTCCTGTGATCGGAGCACGACTCACAGTAAGCATGCATTCGGCGCAGGCTTCGAGGCGGCCACGGCCAGAGCGACGCATTCGAAATCCTGTGTGACGCACCGCTCACATTCCCCCGTCGCGCGCACGAGGATCCCGTGGGATGTCCAGCGCGGTGGAGTGAGCACGCATGCGCTCTATCCGAATGCAGCGCTCCACCGGCAGATTCCTTCGCCCATCTGGCTGGATGGCTGGCGCGCGCGCGCCTGGAAAACCTCGCCCCGGCCGCGGACAGTCGCAGAGAGCCTCGCGCGGAGGGGAGCTTCCCACGCCCGAGCGGGGGCTCAGACTGTCCCCGCCGACGGGGCCCGCGGAGGCAGCGCCGTCCGTGCCCGCACAGCGCCCGCGACCGCGGCGTGCAGGGCGTGGCGGCGCTCGGGCGCAGGCGAGCGGAGCCCCGTCGCACACGCCGCCGAGTCGCTCCTGCGGGCGGCCTCCGAGCTCGGGGCCGACCGAGATCGACCGGGGCGAGGGTCTCGCGAGCTTCGCTCTGCCCTTCGGTGCCGAGATGCAGGGGCAGGCCGGGCAGGCCGGGGAGAGGGAGAACGAAGGAGGGAGGGAGCGTCAAGTCGGGCCGGTCCCCCTACAGTGAGATTTTCGACGAAAAATGAAATTATTCAAAAAATACCCAAAAGGGTAAAAGAAAACAAACAAAAAACAGTGCGACCCTACCTAGGAGTTGGAACCCCTAGGAAAGCAGCATTAGTAGTAACAGTAACGCTAAGCTAAAGCTAAGCTAAAGCTAAGCTAAAGCTAAGCCACAGCTAAGCTAAAGCTAAGCTAAAGCTAAGCTAAAGCTAAGCTAAAGCTAAGCTAAAGCTAAGCTGAAGCTGAGCAACAGCTAAGCTAAAGCTAAACTACAGCTAAGCTAAATATAAGCTAAAGCTAAGCTAAAGCTAAGCTAAAGCTAAGCTACAGCTAGGCTAAATCTAAGCTCAAGCTAAGCTCAAGCTAAGCTAAACGCTAAGCTAAACGCTAAGCGAAAAGCTAAGCTCAAGCTAAGCTCAAGCTAAGCTACAGCTAAGCTAAAGCTGAGCTAAAGCTAAAGCTAAAGCTAAAGCTAAAGCTCCCAGGGGACTGGGGGGAACCGCGGGGCGGGGACCGGGGGAACCGCCCGGGGCGCTTTCCACTGCCCGGCCCCTTTAAGCTAAGAGAGTAAGAACCCTTCTAGGCAGAGCCTAGGTAGGGAAATACTAGAAAAATAGTCCCCAGACTATGTTTGCATTATTTTTTTTTATTATTTCTGTGGTATTTCTTATTCCCGGAAAGGGCTCAGGCCCAGGGTTCTCTTTTAGTATGTAAACATAGTCCCCCGTGCCCAACTTGAAGGAGGCCGGCGGATTCTTTCCCTGATAAATATCGAGGTCGAAGGAGGCCGGCGGATTAAAATTTGAGGATGTCTCAGGCGAAACGCTTGTTTTTGAAATCCCGATCGATAAATCACAGGGTGCGGGACACCTCAGCACGACCACACCCCCAGCATGACCACACCCCAGCACGACCACGCCCAGCACGACCACGCCCCAGCACGACCACACCCCAGCACGACCACACCCCAGCACCACACCCCAGCACGACCACACCCCAGCACGACCACACCCCAGCACCAGCACGACCACACCCCAGCACGACCCGATCGATAAATCACAGGGTGCGGACCACCCCAGCACGACCACACCCCAGCACGACCCCACCCCAGCACGACCCCACCCCAGCACGACCACGCCCCAGCACGACCACACCCCAGCACGACCACACCCCAGCACGACCACACCCCAGCACGACCCCACCCCAGCACGACCCCACCCTAGCACGACCACACCCCAGCACGACCACACCCCAGAACGACCACACCCCAGCACGACCCCACCCAAGCACGACCCCACCCCAGCACGACCACACCCCAGCACGACCACACCCAGCACGACCCACCCCAGCACGACCCCACCCAGCAGCAGCAGACCACACCCCAGCACGACCACCCCAGCACGAGCACGACACCCCAGCACGACCACACCCCAGCACGACCACACCCCAGCACGACCAGCACGCCCCAGCACGACACCCCAGCACGCCCCAGCACGACCACCCCCAGCACGACCACCCCCCAGCACGACCACCCCCCAGCACGACACCCCCAGCACGACCCCACCCCAGCACGACCCCACCCAGCAAGACCACACCCCAGCACGACCACACCCCAGCACGACCTCACCACAGCACGACCACACCCCAGCACGACCACGCCCCAGCACGACCACGCCCCAGCACGACCACGCCCCAGCACGACCACCCCCCAGCACGACCACCCCCCCAGCACGACCACCCCCCAGCACGACCACCCCCCAGCACGACCACACCCCAGCACGACCACTCCCCAGCACGACCACACCGCCTTGGTTGAGTGGTTGCCTGTCGTCGTGGAATGTTTCGTGGGGTGTCTCGTGGAATGTTTCGCGGGGTGTCTCGTGGAATGTTTCGTGAGGTGTCTCGTGGAATGTTTCGTGAGGTGTCTCGTGGGATGTTTCGTGAAGTGTCTCGTGGGATGTTTCGCGAGGTGTTGCCCAGTTGGGTATCGTGAAAACGTGTCCATGCTCCACATGTCTATATCCCTTTCCGGGTTCGTGGGTCCATCATGTTTTTCGTCGAAAATCCCCCTGTAGGGGGACACGCCCGACTTAGAGGGAGCGTCGGCGGCGCGATCCTGCACCGGGCCCGTGGGCCACGGGCCAGTGCGCCGCTTGCGCACGCCCAGCAGGCCAGAGCCCGAGGGGCGGCGAGGCGTTTGCAGTGGGGCAGCAGGAGGAGGAGGAAAGGGATGAGGGGGAGGAGGAGGGGGAGGAGGAGGGGGAGGAGGAGGAGGAGGAGGAGGAGGAGGAGGAGGAGGAGGAGGAGGAGGAGGAGGAGGTGGAGGAGGAGGAGGATCCTCCTCGAGGAGGAGGAAAGGGAGGATGCGGGAGAAGCAGGGAGGAGGGGGAGGCGGAGGAGGACCGCCCAGCCCAGTACCTGCACTCCCGAGTTCTCATCATTCCAACGCTCGCCGACTCCAGTATCGCGTTTAAGCATTCCACAGCATGTCTGCATTGTGCGTCAGTGTGTCAGCGCTCCGCGCCATCATTACGTCCCATCTTTGCATCCGCAGTGTGTGCTTTTGCACAGTTAGAAATCCATCGCTTCAGGGTCATATTTGCCAAGAAGACATGACTCTGTGGTCTCGGCGAGATTGAGCTGCCCGTTGAAGCCATTTTCGGGGTCAGGGAATGGCAAAGGGAGCTGCACTGCACACCCTTCGCGAGGTAGGAAACAGGAGGCCTGCTGTAGCACAGTCTCCCAGATCTGCCTAGTAGCATGCGTGCAAATTCGACTTCGATCTTCGCAGAGACCTGCCACTAGCGAGTGCGGCATGGATCGGCAACTGTGCTAAAAAGTCGCGTGCGCGTTCTGCAACCGTCCAGTTTACGGCGAAGACGCTGAAACAGGGACCTTTTCGATGTCGGAAAGGGGCTATTTGTTTCGGTCGGTCCTCGGGCTGCGCGTAACGGGGAGGGGGAGGGCGAGGAAGAGGAGGGCGAGGGAGCGCGAGGAGGGGAGGGGGGAGGGGGGAAAAAGGAGGAGGAGGAGGAGGAGGAGGAGGAGGAGGAGGAGGAGGAGGAGGTGGCTGCAGGGAGACCCACGTCCGCCACCAGTCAGGTCAGGTCAGGAGGAGGAGGAGGAGGAGGAGGAGGCGGAGGAGGGGAGGAGGAGGAGGAGGAGCAGGAGGAAGGGGTCGAGGAGGAGGAGGAGGAGGCGGAGCAGGAGGAGGAGGGGGTCGAGGAGGAGGAGGAGGAGGAGGAGGAGGAGGAGGAGGAGGAGGAGGGGGGCCGCCGCGGGGCGGAGGCCTGCCGTGGCCGGTGAGGCGCCCCCCCTTCGTTCTCTCCCCGCGCGCTCCGTGTGGCAGCACGGGGGCTGCACCGTGGCGGCATCGCGGGGGTTGGCATCCGAGTCGGCTGCGCCGGGTGCTTAGGTCTCTGCAGCGTTCGCAGAAGCTCAGAGCAATTATACTCCGAGGGGGAGGAGGAGGAGGAGGAGGAGGAGGAGGAGGAGGAGGAGGAGGAGGAGGAGGAGGAGGAGGAGGAGGAGGAGAGGAGGAGGGAGGGGGGCCGCTGCGTGGCGGAGGCCTGCCGTGGCTGTAAGCGCCCCCCTTCGTTCTCTCTTGCGCGTTCTGTGTGGCAGTACGGGGGCTGCACCGTGGCAGCATCGCGGGGTGGCATCCGAGTCGGCTGCGCCGGATGCTTACTCCAGATTTCGTAAGAAAAGGGAGGGGGGCCTCATTTCGGGGGGGGGGGGGTCTCTTCCAGGCCATCTTGGAGGGCCTGGGGGGTCTGGGGGCGATGTTCTGGAGGGTTCTCCCGCGGGGGGAGGTCTGAAATGGCTTGTCTTGGAGGGTCCAGACCCCCTCCCTTTTATTACGAAATATGGAGTAGGTCTCTGCAGCGTTCGCAGAAGCTCAGAGCAATTATATTCCGAGGATGGAGGAGGCCCCTGCCGCGAGTGATGCGCACTGTCTCTTGACATCTCTCGTCACCCGGTCCCGTCTGGAGGCAAGGATCCTTACGATCCTTCTGTTGTTGGGTTTGTTTCCAGCGGTAAGGATTGGTTGGCTGGCAGATTGGCAGACTGACTCGCAAGTTTTATCCGTGCTTGGTGGAGATGTGTTAGTTGGCAGCTTCAACCGTTTGGGTGTTAGTCGTGGGCGCAGTTTTCATCGGGGCTGGTGAGGACATGTGTGTGTGTTTGCCGTGGGCGCAGTCTTCATCGGAGCTGGTGAGGAAAGTTGGGTTGCAAGAGCCATGGGTAATATACGTACAGTTTGGCTCAAAGCGCCTGCGTGCGCGCCAGCGAGAGACAGAGAGAGAGAGAGAGATAATCATAGTGATACATAGAGAGAGAGAGAGAGAGAGAAAAAAAAAAAGGAAAGGGACAGAGGGAGTGACAGGGACAATAGGGAGACGAAGCTGATAACGAAGCTGCCGCTTTAGTTGGGGAGGTGCTGCTGATGTTGGTGTTGGTGTTGTGTCTGGGGTGTCAGGATGTTTGGGTGGCTGATCGTTTTTAGGGGGTATTGCGTATGGCAGCTTCTCGCCAGGGGATGGGCGAGGATATGTGGGTGGCATTTTCCTTCGGGGCTGGAGATCTCCCCGTGCCATTTTGAACTGCCAGTGAAGATTCTCCCGGTGGCCGTTTTGTTCGAGTCGGTGGGGATTGTTGGCAGCGATTTGAAAATGGTGGTGGGGATGGGCTGATATCGCCAGGCATAATTGCGATGAAGAGAGATAGAAAAAGGGTAACGCAAGGATGGAAGGGAATATTGGAGGACTCGCGCCTCAAGTTGGAGTCGTTACCTTCGTTCCTGCCGCTTCTCTTCAAAGCCTATGCTTGCGTGCCGCTGCCCGCGACTGGCTCAAGACAAGTGTGAAGACAGTACGCCGCTGGCGTTTTATCGGAAAAGAGTGTGCGCGCTTCTCTCTGAGCGATCGCGTATCACTACCATCTCTCAGCCCTACTTGACGGAACACTGCATCTATGTCGAACGAATGTGAAGGGATCTCCAGGGTTAGGACATCAGAACCAGGGACACGTTCATTCTTTTGGTTTGCCGATTAGCCGAAATTGCGACGGATAAGGGATTTGGCGCACGTAGTGATGTATGTTCTGCGTTTGACAGTTGAAACTCGGTTGCCCATGGATGAGTTCAGCGTTTCCGTCTGGACCGGAAAACGTTGTTTCAGATGGCAGTGTTGGAGTTGGGAACACCCGGCGCGAAGGGTCCAGAAGAGGGATCCTGACGGACGCAGAGCCCGTTGACGCCCTTCGGCGAGATGCTTTGATCAAGTTTTGGTTTATCAGATCACGTCGCCGCACGCGCAGGCCACGTACTCAACGTCCCATCCTATCCTCGATCTTTTTCCCAGAAAGGGCGGGGGCCCAGGGTTCTCTTTCACTTGGTTTACCCCCGGTTTTGTACTTGAAGGAGGCCGGCGGAATTACTTCGCCATAAATGACGAGTTTGAAGGAGGCCGGGGGAATTTGTTCTGAGGATGTTTCGAGCGAAACGCTTGTTTTTCAGAATTGGTTGAGGATTTCTCGGACGAAACGAATGTTTTGCGTTATAGATTGTCCTCTCCTGGAGACCTGAAGTCAGAGGATCTCTCAAGTGAAATGCTCGTTTTCACGTGCCCAGGTCTTGAGGATGTCTCGAGCGAGACGCTTGGTTTCACGCCTCCAGGTTGCCCCAGATGTCTAGCATGAGGAGTTGTTGAGGATGTCTTGAACCAGAGGCTTGTTTTCACGTGTCCAGGTCGCCCAGGCGGATGTCTAGCATGAGGATGTGTCGAGGAAGTCTCGATCGAGACGCTTGTTTGCACGTGTCCAGGTTGCCCAGGCGGATGTCTAGCATGAGGATGTGCTGAGAACGTCTTGAGCGAAACGGGTGTTTTCACGTGTCCAGGTCGCCCAGGCACAGCACAGCCCTCGGCACGGTACATCAATATCGATACCCTTAGCATTGCAGAGCCTGGCATGTTGCCTGGCACATTCCGCGGAGCGTCCCGTGGCGAGTCCCCCTGGCAAGTCGCGCAGTGCACGTCCATTGGCACGTTCCGTAGCGCGTCCCATTGGCGCGTCCCGCGGTGCGTGCCCATGGCACGTCCCCTGGCACGTCGCCTGGCGCGTCCATTCGGACGTTCCGCGGCGCGTCCTCCTGGCATGTCCCCCTGTCAAGTAGCTCTGGGGCAGCTACCATCTGCTCAGGCAGCTCGAGCTTAAGATCCAGATCAGTTCGGTCAGGACTCGGATGCAAAGAGGACTCGATCCACAACGCTATATAGAGCACAATCGCGGCATGGCACATCGCAGTTCAGCACGGCCAGCACAGCACAGCCCTCGGCACGGTACATCAAGCTCGATACATTCAACATTGCATCATGGCACGTTTCTTGGCGCGTTCTTTGGCGAGTCCACCTGGCACGTCGCGCGGCGCGTCCCCTGGCACGTCCCGCGGCACGTCCCCTGGCACGTTCCGTAGCGCGTCCCCTTGGCACGTCCCGCGGTGCGTGCCCATGGCACGTCCCCTGGCACGTCGCCTGGCGCGTCCCTTGGGACGTTCCGCGGCGCGTCCTCCTGGCATGTCCCCTCTGTCGAGTGGTTCTGGGGCAGCTACCATCTGCTCAGGCAGCTCGAGCTTAAGATCCAGATCAGTTCGGTCAGGACTCGGATGCCAGGGAGGACTCGATCCACAATTTATATAGAGCACAATCGCGGCATGGAACATCGCAGTTCAGCACGGCGTAGCACAGCACAGCACTCGGCACAGTACATCAAGATCGATACATTCAGCATTGCATGTGCCCGTCGCCCAATCATGTGTCTTCGAAACGTTGCTGTGCCTTACATTTCTATATTCCTTTCCGGGTTCGTGGATCGATCATGTTCCAGTAGATGTTCTGGCGGGGGACGCACTAGTGTCATCCCGCCTCCCTTCCGGTGTCGTCAGAAGCTCAAGCGGGGATGGCGACTGAAAGTTTTACAGATTTCCCCATCTGAGGTGGGCTTCTTGTTATTCTTCAGACCGCGTCGTCTCTTCTTCCCTCCTCCTCAGACTGCGTCTTTCTCCTCCTCCTAACACCTCTACTCACATGCACTCATCACACTCAGACTCACTCAGACTCTGACTCAGGCTCACTCATGCTCAGACCGGCTCACTTTCAGACTCACTCATCCTGAGACTCATTCATTCTTCAGAGTCAGTCACATCTCTCCCTCAAACGCACTCATACTCATACTTATTCTTCTAGTGGCGCAGACTCAGTCACATTAATTACCCATTCAGGCTCACGCATGCTCAGAACCCTTTGCACACACACACACACAGACCGTGAACATGTCTTAGGCGAGAGCGGTAAATCTTCGCCTAAGGGGAATAGTAAGGTTGGACACAACTCATTGCTTAAACCACCCATGGCCAGATAGATGGGGTGCTCGTTGTTTTCTTCGAGAAAGGAATTGTGCTCTCCTATGGAAGTGTGCCCCATCATACATGAACCGCCATCGATGCTCCCAATGTGGTGCAATATTATGTATCTGCACCCCATGGTGCACTCTGCACAGCCAAGTGCACCTCATGGCATTTCCGGAAGCCTGATGATGCAATGTATGCTGGATGTGGA